CTGTGCCACTAACCAATATATGGTATATTTTTTGCATTTTAAGATCAGGCATCCCTGTATAGTTAAAAAAAAAAAGTTTCATCAAAGCCTTGTGAAGAATTCTGAATTTAACATCACAGCTGAAGGAAAATGGTAGACTACAAAATTTTAACTTGTCAAAAATAATTTGACTACAAGTAGGGATGCACCAATGCCACTTTTTTTACCAGACTGAGCAGCTACTTAAATTTAAGTACTCGCAGATACAAGTACTGAATGCAGTGTTTCTACTATACAAATTACAATTACCATAAAAGTGCAATGACTTTAGAGTCAGTTTTTATTTTCATGAAATTTATTAAATAAAATATAACTGCATAAATTACCTGAAAACCTTTTAAGATAAACATAGCACCGCCCCATTCCAATGGAATACATCTGTTGAATGCAACTGACTGAAATTCTGTAGCCTACTACATCTCATACTGTAATACAGTGGTTTTTAACCTTTTGTAGGAGTGTGACCCTCTGACAGGATGAAATGATTTCGCAAATCCCATCCAGAACACAAACATTAAGAGCGCATAATATCTCAGTTGACAAATTTTCAATTTACTGTCTTTGGCTCCATCCTGTTCTCTCTGCTGGACATAATCCTGCACTGCTGTAGAGGAGCGGCTGGTCTCAACCTTTAAATCCACAAGAATTCAACTCATTTTCATACACAGAGCTCATTAGACTCAACCATTTACTACATAAAATTTGCTTTTCTTTTTTTGATCACAACAATTCACCATAATCAGTAATCACCATATAGGTATAGTGGGTGAATGGGCCCAGGCATTTTGACCGCAGGACGGTGATGTCATTACATTTCTGCAGGTTTGCTGTTGTGTTCAACAGTTTTGATAAAGTGCTCGTACTCTTTTCATTAGGCTACGGGTAGAGGTTAAGGTAATGTTACTGTTAAGTGGTATCATGCATATAACTGAAGCTTTATTCTTTTATTTAGTTATTAACCAGTGTAGTAGGATTTACTGAAACTGGTCAGGTGTTAAACAAACCTTGTTTAAATGAACCCTACGGTGGAATTTTATTTAATAACAGACCTCTGAGCTGTCACTTGAGCCATTTCCCGCTTCTACAGTCTTCTTCTCCTTCTTCTTCTTCTTCTCCTTTTTAGATTTCTTCTCTTTCTTCTTCTTCTTGCTCTTCACAGAGCCTTCCTGTGGAGGATTGAGATTCCAAAAATGAAAACCTTTTTTTTTTTTTTTTTACATTAACAGTATATATTGTTCAGTTGTTCAGGGTGTATCCAAGATATCCAGGAATAGTGCTGTCTCCAGTTTTTTGGCTCATGAATCTGAACAATGGCAGATCATCCCAAAGAGTGTGTAGATAAATATTTGCTACAATTACCTGTGCCACTAACCAATATATGGTATATTTTTTGCATTTTAAGATCAGGCATCCCTGTATAGTTAAAAAAAAAAAGTTTCATCAAAGCCTTGTGAAGAATTCTGAATTTAACATCACAGCTGAAGGAAAATGGTAGACTACAAAATTTTAACTTGTCAAAAATAATTTGACTACAAGTAGGGATGCACCAATGCCACTTTTTTTACCAGACTGAGCAGCTACTTAAATTTAAGTACTCGCAGATACAAGTACTGAATGCAGTGTTTCTACTATACAAATTACAATTACCATAAAAGTGCAATGACTTTAGAGTCAGTTTTTATTTTCATGAAATTTATTAAATAAAATATAACTGCATAAATTACCTGAAAACCTTTTAAGATAAACATAGCACCGCCCCATTCCAATGGAATACATCTGTTGAATGCAACTGACTGAAATTCTGTAGCCTACTACATCTCATACTGTAATACAGTGGTTTTTAACCTTTTGTAGGAGTGTGACCCTCTGACAGGATGAAATGATTTCGCAAATCCCATCCAGAACACAAACATTAAGAGCGCATAATATCTCAGTTGACAAATTTTCAATTTACTGTCTTTGGCTCCATCCTGTTCTCTCTGCTGGACATAATCCTGCACTGCTGTAGAGGAGCGGCTGGTCTCAACCTTTAAATCCACAAGAATTCAACTCATTTTCATACACAGAGCTCATTAGACTCAACCATTTACTACATAAAATTTGCTTTTCTTTTTTTGATCACAACAATTCACCATAATCAGTAATCACCATATAGGTATAGTGGGTGAATGGGCCCAGGCATTTTGACCGCAGGACGGTGATGTCATTACATTTCTGCAGGTTTGCTGTTGTGTTCAACAGTTTTGATAAAGTGCTCGTACTCTTTTCATTAGGCTACGGGTAGAGGTTAAGGTAATGTTACTGTTAAGTGGTATCATGCATATAACTGAAGCTTTATTCTTTTATTTAGTTATTAACCAGTGTAGTAGGATTTACTGAAACTGGTCAGGTGTTAAACAAACCTTGTTTAAATGAACCCTACGGTGGAATTTTATTTAATACCTTTTTTTTTTTTTTTTCTGCATTAACAGTATATATTGTTCAGTTGTTCAGGGTGTATCCAAGATATCCAGGAATAGTGCTGTCTCCAGTTTTTTGGCTCATGAATCTGAACAATGGCAGATCATCCCAAAGAGTGTGTAGATAAATATTTGCTACAATTACACAATACAGCCTTGAATAACAATGCTCAAATTACAATGGTATGGAACTACTGTATCATGTTGTAGACCAAGATCATCATTGTTGGTCTACAAGTACAGCGACTTGTAAAGATGGCAATATTGACAACCGGGATCAACCCGTTTCAAAGCTGTCCAAGACAAGCGGTTTCCAGTCAAGGTTTATGACACAGTTTCAAAACCACATACACACATTTTGAAAACATTTTGAAACACTGGGTGTTTCAAATATATCAAAACCTCTTTAAAGATTTGAAATTGCCATCTCTGCTGACTTGGCATGGAGTCTAAAAACTGACTGCACTAAACTGATTAAGCTGGGAGTGTCGTTATAAATTGCTAAATGTAGTTGTTAAATATATGCACAACTCTGAATTAAAAACTTTGCATATTACTTCCTCTAACTGCTGCAGCTTCTGGTTGACCTCAGGGAGCATCCAAGTGTCCTCCCCTCTCTGCCTCTTCAGCTCCTTCCTCCTCTCTTCTCTCTCATACTTTTGCTTGGCCTGGGTGACAAAAAGAAAAGAAGTCAAACATCTCAAAGTAAGGTAAAGATATTCAGGTACATAACTCGTAACTTAACAATGCTTGCTGTAACAGTAACTTAAATATATCTTAACAGAAAAAAAATAAAGGTAAAGAGGAAAAAAGGGAATATTCTAAAAATTAAAAAGGAAACATAACAAAGGAAACAAAGAAAAACCAAGCATATAAACATCAAGTGGAAAGCTGAATTTGTAAATTACTTCAAAAACCACTGAACAAGTCAAATTAATTGAAAATCATATCTTCAAGCCACTGAGCAGAAGTAGGATGAGTCAGAGATTGTTAGCAAAGTAAAATGCTATTGCAAAAAGAAAAGAGTATTTAATGGACATAACTTCAAAGGTGTGGATAAAGTTGGACAAAAGAACTCCCAAAATGTATTCATTTGTGGACAGGATGAAAACATATGACTAAGGTTAAAGAGCTGTAGCATCTTTCACATTCACCATCAACCAAGAGGATCACACTAATTAAAAAAAAAGGCAAAAAGTACACAACCAGAGACATTTTTCTCATTATGAAAGGAACGACACATTGCCATGACAGGCTACTGTTGATCATGTTGTCATAAATTTCATACATTCGAGCACTGCAGGGCTTTTCAGCTTCACATTTTGGACATAGTGACACTAAAGTGCGCCAGTTTCTCTTTAAATTCAGCAGAATAACTCAGATACTGCTACACTCTTTGTTTTGGCCAGTGTAAGCACAGGTGAGTCAGGCAGATAATGTGTGTTTACAGCCTTTAATGTTCATCTACAGGAAGCATCATGCGAATGCATCCTCTGCCTGTGCATCTGTAACAGTCTAAACAAACCTGCACAGCAAGAGATAACGAACAATTGAAAAGCTGCGTACACGCTGACGAAATGTGTACAACATTATGTGTATAGCTTTGAGCATGACATAAAACCTCTATCTGCCTCACTCAGTGTTTGTCCTCTGCTTTCCTGACTGCAGTATCCCCCACCCCCACATTATCAGGTTAATCTGAAACAGTACAGATAAATTACTGTTAGCTTTCAGAGAGAGAATGAGAGATGGAAAAAGACACTAATTTAGATTACAGACAATGAAATTCCGCGAATAGATACTGGTGAGCAGCTTAATTCCTCAGTACCTGACATTAACCAGACGTTAGCTGTTAGCTTGAGCTAGCTTACTAGATTTTATTTGGACTCAAAGGGTATGATTTACGCCATAACTGACGCAAATAAAGCAAACCTAGATTTACACATTCCTTTATCAATTACACGTCTTACAGTTGATACCTTTTCTATCGCCTCTTGGCGTGCCTTCCGTTTACTTTCTTTTCTTTTCTCGATGCTGTTTGAACTCTCAAAACTGACTCCGTACGTCGCCATGGCACTGGCGTCAATGTGTTTATAGATGTCGTAAATCGGAGACATTTACGTCAACAGTTGATTTGTGGTTATTGTAGTGCAAAAAGCAAAACAAAGTACTACACCTAATTTTAGTAGTTGTATATAAGAATCAAAACGCTGTTGTTAAACTGCAGTTATACAGTTTACACATAAGAGCCAAATCTACAGGAAGGATCAGCCACTGTGTATTATCTTCCTAAAACTTCATTTAAAAAAACTGCAACGCATAAAAAATCCTCTCACCAGAAATATATATCAGCATTTCTACATAAGTACACATAATCAGTTCAGCTCTATTCTTATTTGGATTGGCAGTGTTTGACCATATGACCAAATTTAATTGAGGCATGTCATTGTTCTGAGTGTGCAAATTCAGAACCCTGTTTTTGTGCTTTAAATTTTGACTTTGGTTAAACACCCCTCCCTCCTGTTTTGTCTTCGGTTGAGTGACATTCACCTTACAGATACAAATATGTCACTTGTCATGCAGAGTTACACATTTTTTATCAATGTCCCTTGACTCCTTTGAGCTGAATATTTTAAATGTCTTGTAGCCTGTCAAATCAAATGCCTATACATGGGGAAAGCACACCTTCCATCGATCCATCCATCCATCCATCCATCCATTTTCCTCTGCTTATCTGGAACCGGGTCGCGGGGGCAGCAGTCTAAGCAAAGATGCCCAGACTTCCCTCTTTCCAGACACTTCCTCCAGCTCCTCCGGGGAAAAGCCAATGCCGAGGCGTTCCCAGGCCACCCAGGAGACATAGTCCCTCCAGCGTGTCCTGG